TGGAACTACAATCTAGACAGTTGTAAAATAATGCTGCTCCAGGAACAGTAGATGAGGACTCAGAAACTGCTAACAACTTTTCTAGGTGTGGTGACACAGCTCTTTGGTTCTAAGCACTTTTGTGCCTCAGCCTTTCTTTCCCCCATTCTCTACAATGACACCTGCAGCTCTTCCCGCCTCCTGAGTCCCCAAACTGGAATGCTCAACAGCTGCTCCCTGATGTTTTCACAGTTTCCACCATTTGTTACCAATGACCAAGTACTCAGACAACTCTCAGCTCCAAAATCCCCCTTCAACTTCAGAAGCAATGCCACCCCACCACCCTTTCCTTTATTCCTGCCATAATTTGATGCTAGTAACACTTTACATACCGATTTCCAATGGCAATACACATTTTGTAGAGATGTGCAAATCTATGTTGTGGACCGTGGTCCCATGAGTGAGATAAACACTCCACCTACCAGATCTGAGAGTTGGGTAAATTACTCGGTGTCTCCAAAATCAATTCCTTGACCAGGAATAAGTGATAAAAGTTAATGATATTGCAGCAAAAGGGAAATGGATTAGGAATATTAAAGTTCTCTTACATAGTTTCTATTGTATGACTTTGCGATTATTATCTTTTATTTTTTAATCACATCATAACCAACTTAGTTTTACTAGTTAAAGTGCATACACGGGGTGTCTTTGTTTTAAAAGAATCTACATGTCTAAAAAACATCTACTGTTCCTCATCTACTGCAATATAATTTTCTAGCACAAAAGCCAGCTGTTCTCAGAACCTTTACCCAAGAACACAGACAAATGGCCAACAAACAGGGGGAAAATGCTCAACATCCCTGGATCATCAGAGACATGCAAATCAAAACCACTTTAAGATATCACTTAACACTAGTGAGAACATTCCACTTCATAAGGCCCCAAAGGTACAGCCCTTGTGGAAAGAAGTGTGAAGAATCCCCAGGTGTCTACCCAGAAGGAAAAAGGAAAATAAACATTTTACCATAAGGGCATTTGCACTGGAATGTCTATCACAGCTCAATTCACAATCACAAAGATGCATAAACAACCCAAGTGTGCTCCAGCTAGCCTGGGGTCAGAGCCTCCTATATTCTGCAGTAGGGTTTAGAGCTGCTATAAAGTGACCTAAATTTATAATTTTTTCTTTTTGTTTTCAATTGACTTTTTACCAACTTCTACCAGTGTGAACTAATAAAATCTTAAGCCCCCCAGCTGACCGAATGGACCCTGTCTTGGCCTAGGGGACCCCATAAAATCCCCACAGCTGTCCTGCTGGCCATGAGAAGGGAGTCCAGCATGCCTAGTTGTGACCCATCATTTTTGGAGTTATTCTTTGTAACAATAAGACACAAAATCATTAACAAGCCTAAAGCCATGTGAGACAAAGGCTAAGCCACACTTGGAGGTCATCGATTTACCTACCAGATCATTTGAGTCTCGGTATGTATCCAGTGACCTGCCCCTGACTAACAGACTCCCTTATGTTAACATAAAACATTCCAAGCCTTTGCCAAAGCTTCATTTTTTTAACCCATTACAAATTAAAGAATCTTTCAACCCACCTAAAATCTGTAATCCCCCACTTTGAGATGTCCTGCCTTCGTGGTCCAAACCAAAGTACATCCTCCACATACTGACTTAGGGTCTTACACGAACCTACAAAACCAAGCTGACACCCAGCTACCACAGGCACATTTTCTCAGGACATCTTGGGGCCACAGGATGCAGGCCAATCATACATATTCAGCTCAGAATAAACCTCTTTAAATTACTTTACAGAGTTTTAGTCTTTCTTTGTTAACACCAGTTCTTTTAAAAGAGCATTTGTTCCTCCCAAGAATTAGACTTAAAATATAAGCTTGTAAAAATTTATATAATTTGCAAATCTAGGGGTTTAGGTTTAGCTAGTGTTACTATTTATTTTATGGAATATTGGCACTTACCTATATAAATATTTGCAATATTTCTTCCCTTCTTTTTTTTCATTAAATCATAGCTGTGTACATTAATGCAATCATGGGGTACAATGTGTTGGTTTTACATACAATTTAAAATGCTTTCATCAAACTGGTCAACATAGCCTTCATGGCATTTTCTTAGTTACTGTGTAAAGACATTTATATTCTACACCTAGTAAATTTCTTACTCTTGTAAGATGCACTGTAGGTGTGGTCCCACCAATTATTCTCCCTCCACTCACCTTCCCTCTCCCTCCCCTCTCTCTCCCATTTCCCCTTCTTCTTGGGCTATAACTGGGTTATAGCTTTCATAAGAAAGCTATAAATTGATTTCATAGTAAGACTGAGTACATCGGATACTTTTTCTTCCATTCTTGAGATAATTTGCTAAGAAGAATATGTTCCAGCTCCATGCATGTTAACATGAAACTGATAATGTCTCCATCTTTCTTTAAGGCTGCATAATATTCCATGATACAGATATATCACAATTTATTGATCCATTCATGGGTCAATGAACACTTGGGCTTCTTCCATGACTTAGCAATTATGAATTGGGATGCAACAAACATTCTGGTACATATATCTTTGTTATAATGTGATGTCTGGTCTTCTGGACATATACCTAGTAGAAGAATTGTAGGATCAAAAGGCAGGTCTATTTTTAGATCTCTAAGTGTTCTCTAAACATCTTTTCAAAAGGAATGTATTAGTTTGCATTCCCACCAGCAATGTAGAAGTGTTCCCCTTTCTCCACATCCACACCAGCATCTCTGCTTGTGGAATTTTGTGATGTGGGCTAATCTTACTGAGGTTAGATGATATCTCAAAGTAGTTTTGATTTGTATTTCTCTGATGATTAAAGATGATGAGCATTTTTTCATGTGTCTGTAGGCCGTGCACCTGTCTTCTTCAGAGATGTTTCTCTTCAAGTCCCTTGCCCACTCTGTTCTTTTCTTGCTTATACACTTGAGTTCTCTGTGGATTCTGGTTATTAAACCTTTGTCAGAGACATAACCTGCAAATATCTTCTCCCATTCTGAGGGCTATCTGCTTGCTTTACTTACTGTGTCCTTGGCTGTGCAGAAGCTTTTAGTTTAATCAGATCCCAGTAGTTTATTTTTGATGTTGCTTCAATCGCCCTGGTGGGTCCTCCTCATAAAATATTCACCCAAGCCAATTTCTTCAAGAGTTTTCCCTGCACTTTCTTCTAGTATTTTTATAGTTTCATCTTTAATCCAGTGAGAGTCTATCTTAGTTAATGGTCCTAGCACCATTTGTTAAATAGGGAATCTTTCCCCCATTGAATGTTTTTAATTGACTTGTCAAAGATTGGTAAGTAGCTGGAGTCATCTCTTGGTTCTCTGTTCTGTTCCATACATCTACCTTTGTGTTTTTGTGTCAGGACCATGCTGTTTTGATCACTATAGATTTATAGTATAGTCTGCGGTCTGGTAGCATAATTCTTCCTGTTTTGTTTTTATTTGTAAGTAATGTCTTAGCTATTCCAGATTTTTTCTGATTCCATATGAAATGAAGTATTGTTTTTAAGAGATCTTTAAAGTATAACAGTGGAGCTTTAATAGGGATTGCATTAAAATTATATATTTTAGCGCCCTCACTCAACTCCAGTTGGTTCCACCACCTTCTGTCCCTCCCCAACCAGGCCTGAGCTAAGCTGCCAGCCAGGGAGCCAATTAGCGCTGGCCAAGGTGGCGTCCACTTCCTAGTCCTCCCCCCCACGCGCTAGGGGCGATTCTGATGGCCCAGGACTGGGCGGGGCACTCTGAGGGCTGGCTCTGCCTGCGTCTGGCATCTGAGAGTGGGTGTAGGTCCTTGAGGGTGCACAACTGCAAACCAGACAAAAAGAAACTTTGGGGTGCTTGAAGTGCCGCTGACAGAGCTATCAGTTGGCTTTTTCGTGTGGTCTTTAGGATTAGCCACTCAAGGAAGCGAGATGTCCAAACCACTACCCAAACCAGTCAAACCAGGGCAAGTTAAAGTTTTCAGAGCTCTGTATACATTTGAACCCAGAACTCCAGATGAATTGTACTTTGAAGAAGGTGATATTATTTATGTTACTGACATGAGTGATACCAATTGGTGGAAAGGCACCTCCAAAGGCAGGACTGGACTAATTCCAAGCAACTATGTGGCTGAGCGGGCAGAATCCATTGACAATCCATTGCATGAAGCTGCAAAAAGAGGCAACTTGAACTGGTTGAGAGAGTGTTTGGACAACCGAGTGGGTGTTAACGGCTTAGACAAAGCTGGGAGCACAGCCTTATATCGGGCTTGTCACAGGGGCCACAAAGATATAGTGGAAATGTTATTTACTCAACCAAACATTGAACTGAACCAACAGAACAAGTTGGGAGACACGGCTTTGCACGCTGCTACCCGGAAGGGTTATGCAGATATTGTTCAGTTGCTTCTGGAAAAAAGGTGCTAGAATGGACTTAAGAAACAATGAGAAGAAACTGGCCTTCGACATGGCTGCCTGTGCATCTCTCCTGAAAAAGAAACAGGAAACAGATGCTATTCGAACATTAAGCAATGCCGAGGACTATCTTGATGATGACGACTCAGATTAATTCCATTCCGAAGCTTTGAGATCTAATACTTCTGTTGCTTTTGCCATTCCAAAACTTTGTCTTTGCCAGGAGAGTGTTGGTAACTGTATAAAAAAACAAAGAAGTATGTATGGATCTGACAGTGTTGCATGTGTTTTGAGTACAATGTGTAAATGAATGGTTCTTCACCTTTGGTTTGCCAATAAGTGACTTGATACTTTCTGTGTGAAATATATTTAGGTTCCCCAGAGTAGAACAAGTAGAGATTATTTCTATTTATCAAGCTAAAGGAATTTTAAGAGATTTTTTCTTTAAAAAAATATCAAGTTTTTTTTTTCCTTTTCTTTATTTTTTTTTAGTTAAAACTCTTTACCTCAAGGATTTGAGATATTTTCAGTAGATTTTTCAAGGAGGGAGGAAGTGCTTATAATAGTAATAAACCAAAATACTCAACAGAAAATCATCAGCTATTCTGACAAAAATACACATTTTAAGACACTTAAAAAAAATTATATATTGCTTTGGGTAATATGGACATTTTAACAATGTTGATTCTTCCCAGCCATGAGCATGGTATGTTTTTCCATTTGTTAACATCTTCAGCTATTCCTTTTCTTAAGAGTTTCATAGTTCTCTTTATAGAGATCTTTCATGTCCTTTGTTAGGTAAACTCCCAAATATTTCATTTTTGGCACTATTGTGAACAGAATAGAGTCCTTGACTATTTTTTCAGTTTGACTATTGTAGGCATATATAAAGGCTACTGACTTATGAGTGTTGGTTTTCTAACAAGATGATGCTGTATTCCTTGATCACTTCTAAGAGTTTTGTAGTAGTAGAATCCCTGGTGTTTTCCAGATATACAATCATATCATCTGTGAAGAGTGAAAGTTTGATCTCTTCTGACCCTATATGGATACCCTTGATCGCCTTTTCTAGCCTAATTGTGATGGCTAAGACTTCCATTACAATGTTAAAAAGCAGTGGAGACAATGGGTAACTTTGCCTAGTTCCTGATCTGAGTGGAAATGATTTCAATTTAATGCCATTTAATATGATAATGGCTGTGGGTTTGCTGTAGATGGCCTCTAAACAAATCTATTTGTTTAAGAAATGTCCCTTCTATACAAATTTTCCTAAGTGTTCTGAACATAAGTGGGTGCTGGATATTATCAAAAGCTATTCCTGCATCAATTGAGAGAATCATATGGCCTTTGTTTTTTAATGTCTTTATGGGATGAATTATATTTATAGATTTACATATATTTAACCAGCCTTGAGACCTTGGGATAAAACCCACTTGGTCATGGTGTATAATTTGTTTGATGTTGCTGGATTCTGTTTCTTAGGATATTGTTGAATATTTTCACATCAATATTCATTAGTGATATTGGTCTATAATTTTCTTTTCTTGTTGAGTCTTTTCCTGGATTTGGAATCAAGGTGATGTTTGCTTCATAGACTGTGTTAAGTAGTATTCCTTTTTTTTTTCTTTCTATTTTTTGGAGAAGATTGAGTAATATAAGTACTAGTTACTCTTCAAAGGTTTGGTAGAATTCTGATGTGAAAACTTCTTGTCCAGGGCTTTTCTTTTTAGGTAGATTTTGTATAGTTGATGCTATTTCAGAACTTGATATAGGCCTATTCAAGATTTCCACTTGATTCTAGCTAAGTCTTGGAAGGTGGTGTGCTTCCAAGTATTGGTCACTTTCCTTCAGATTTTCATATTTCTGAGAATAAAGTTTCTTGTAATGTTCATTAAGGAATTTTTGAATTTCTGAGGAGTCTGTTGGTATTTCATCATTATCAATTCTGATTGATGAAATTAGAGGTTTTACTCTTTTTTCCTCATTAGATTAGCCAAAGGTTTATGTATTTTATTGACCTTTTCAATAAACCAACTTTTTGATTTTTGATCTGCTATGTAATTCTTTTGTTTTCAATTTAATTTAATTCTCCTCTAACTTTAGTTATTTATTTTCTTCTGCTGGGTTTAGTGTTGGAATGTTCTTCCTTTTCCAGTTGCTTGAGATGTCCCATTAAGTTGTTAACAGCCTCTCTTTCCGATCTCTTGAGGAAGGCTTGCAGTGCTATAAATTTCCCTCTTAGGACTGCCTTTTGGTATCCCAGAGGTTCTGATAATTCATGTCTTCATTATTGTTTTGTTCCAAAAATTTGGTAATTTCTTTCTTAATCTGACCCAGCTATCATTCAGCAAAAGGTTATTTAGCTTCCATGTTTTTGTATAAATATGTAGATTCCTATTGTTACTGAGTTCAACTTTTACTCCATGATGTTCCAAGGAGATGCAAGGAATAATTTGTATTCTTTTAAATTTTCTGAGGTTAGACTTGTGACTTAAGATGTGATCACTTTTGGAGTATGTTCTGTGGGCTTATGAGAAGAATGTGTATTCAGTTTGGTTAGGATGAACTGTTCTGTAGATGTCTGTTAAATCCAAATGTTGAATGCTTAAGTTTAAATCTAAAATTTCTTTGCTTAACTTCTTATTGGAGGATGTATTCAACACTGCCAAAGGCATGTTAAAATCTCCAACAATTTTGCTGCTGGAGGAAATCAAGTTAGTGATGTCTGTTAGAGGTCTCTCTTATAAATTGAAGTGCATTCTGCTTGGGTGCATAAATGTTAATAATAGAAATCTCAACATATTGAGTATTACCCTTAGCAAATATGAAGTGACCATCCTTATCTTTCCTTACTTTTGTTGCTTTAAAGCCTATTGTATCTGTGAATAAAATTGCAACACCTGCTTTATTCTGATTTCCATTTGCCTGAAATATAGATGACCACCCCTTCACCCTGAGTCTATATTTATCTTTTAAGTTAAGATGAGATTCTTGTATGCAGCAGATATCTGTCCTGAGTTTTTGTATCCAGCCAGCCAACCTGTGCCTCTTTAGAGGCATTAATTCACATTAATTGAGAATATTGATAAGCCATTCACATTAATTGAGAATATTGATAAGCCTAGTAGAATTTTGAGTATCAAGTTTTTCAAAAGTCCAGTGGACATTTTTAAACCTTTCATCACTGTGGAAGTTGTAATTTGATCAAAAGTTTCTGGGTGAGTTTACTTTTGTGGTGGAGGATTGCACTGGTCATTATGGAGGATAGGTCTGAGAATATCCTGGAGCGCTTGTTTAGTTATGGCAAATTTCTTCGACATGTGAATGTCATTAAAGTACTTAATTTCTCCATCATAAATGAAACTCAGTTTAGCTGGATACAGGATCCTGGGTTGAAAGTTATTTTGTTTTAGGAGATTAAAAGTTGATGACCACCCTCTTCTAGCTTGAAAGGTTTTGGCAGAGAGATCTGCAGTCATTCTAATATCCTTCCCCTTGTAGGTTATGGTTTTCTTACATCTGGCTGCTTTCAGAATTTTCTCCTTCATATTAACTTTAGTGAAGTTAATTATGATGTGTCTGGGGGTTGGTCTTATTTGGGTTGAGCCATACTGGGGTTCTGAAACTGTCTGCTATCTGCATTTCAGAATCTCTTGGCATATCTGGAAAGTTCTCCTTCATAATTTCATGAAAAACGGCCTCTGTGCCTTGCAAAGCATCTTTGTCACCTTCAGGGATTCCTATAAGGCAAATATTAGTTTTCTTCAAATTACCCCAAAGTTCTCTGAGATGATTCATTTTTGTTCTCCATTTCTCTTCCTCTTTGAGCACTTGGGAACATTCAAACGTTTTGCCTTCAATATCAGAAATCCTTTTTTGTGCTTGCTCTATTCTGTTACTGAGGGATTCTACTGTTTTTCTCAGATCTTTGAGGGCTGCAAATTCTTGTCTCAGTGTGTCACAATCTTTGGTGATTTTGTCTTCAAATTTGTTGAATTCTTGAGACAACTTTCAAATTGCTCCTTGAATTTCTAATTCCAACTTTAACTCCATTCTATTAATCTTATTTGCAATCCAAACTCTGAATTTGATTTCTGACATCTCAGCCATTTGTCTATGAATAGGATCTTCATTTGTGTCTGTTGTATCAATCCTTGGGGGTTGTTGATCTACTCTGGTTATTCATGTTACTCGAGTTTTTCTGCCGATTCCACCCCATGAGTATTTTACACCATTTGGGTAAATGCGCATATAAGGTGAAGTTGGGTTGGGGGACTCCTGGAGTAGTGATTAATCAGCCCTTACCCAAGAGCTGTCACTGGTGTCTGTACCTTTTCCCCTAGAGCTTTGCAAAGGACCCAAAAAATACTATGGCCTGAGACACTGGGATTTACTTGGTGTGGTGGGGATAAGTGGCTCTGTCTTGTTTTCAGCTGGTCTCTGTCCTACCCTAGTGAATTAGTTCCTCTGGGTTGAAGTCTCAGCTGTGGAGAAATACCAGCAATTAAGTCATCCTGCCTCCCATGGGCAAAAACTAGAAAAGGAAAATCAAACCTTCCCACAACCACACACCCAGGGTACCACTTTGGATAGTCCTCAAGTGGTTGGTTCAGTCAGTCCAAGAGATCCAAATCAGTTGTCCTAGTCAGCACCCCCTCTCAAGTGAGGGAATTCAAAAGGTCTCTGGCAATTAGATATCAGGCTTCTGCTGGCAGCTCGAGTATGACTCATTCTGGTGCTCCACAGAGTCAGAAATACTCCACCACCACCACCCCCCAGCAAATGAATTAGTCTGGGAAGGTTGATGCCTCCTTCCCCACCTTGCACCTCTGTGGTTACCAGTCACTGATAACCCTGTAGGCCTATGACCCAGTTCCCTCCAATGAGCAGATGATCCAGGGATTTGAGCCTGCCTGAGTCACAGAGAGATGTTATGTCTCCTTGGCCATGCCTCCACCCTCTGACACCATCTGGCAGGGGAAGCTAAGGGCTCACAACCTTGGGTGGTTTACGAAAGCTGGGGCTGTTCACTGAGTTCTCGCCCAACCCTAATTGATGTTGCTGACACTTATATTTGTGCAGAATTTGTGATTCTGTCCTGCCTATATTCTTCTGCAGATCAGGTGCTGTTTGAGTTCACAGAAACTGTGACTCAGCCCTGGTCTGTACTGCTGCCCAGAACTGGTGTTTCTGTTTACCCTGCAGTGTGTGTTGGGGCATGTCCAGAGAGAGCTTACACTCAGCTTTTGGTTTCCCACCTGACTTTGTCTCAGCTAT